CTCCCCGGGCAGATGGAGCTCGTTAGCCCTGTAAGGCAATCCATCTACGTCCTGAGGACCTCGCTGCCACCGTCCAAGCGTGCTTGGCCCCGGCAGATGAACCTCAGGATTAAAGGGTGGGCTCAGTTCCGTGCACACTGTGTCTCACCTAAAAAATCCAATGCGCAGGCTGGAAGGTGGAAAGACCTTCCCTGGTTCTTCATTCGCAAAGACTGGACGTTATTATATACTTGAGTTTAAATCACTTGTAAAACTATCTACTTTCATTTTGCCTTACCACGTGTTATGACACCAATGAGGCAGTGCCTGGTATTACTGGTGCCTTGTGTTTATTCCCCATGCAGGTGGACCTCACAGTGCAAGAAAAGGAGAAGTACCTTAACGTGTCTCGTTGGTTCAACCACATTCAGCATTACCCAGGTGTCCGGCAACATCTGTCTAATGTCGTCTTCATCAAGAACAGATTATACACAAATGCTCATTAAGGAAAATCTTAACGTCGTGTTGGAAGGAGGTTTGGGAGTTTAGAAGTTATACTGTCCAAAGCCACTGGTAGCAAATGTTGTTTTGTAACCTTCTGTATGTGAACCAAAACTGTTAATTCCTCAGATAATACAGTTGCATTGAATTGCTGTTGTTCATTCAAGAATTTGAACTAAAGAATTGTATCATGTATCTGATTAAATGCAGCAATGGTAGAAAGATGGAAACTGAGTTTTAATTCACTATTTTTTAAAAAAAAAATTTAAGTTCCTTTAATTAAACATTCAAGTGGAATTACGTGATCTTTATAGGAAATAATTGGTTATTTTCCTTCGATTATCCACTCTTTTCGCTATTTATTGAATTTTTATGTACGTCATCCTGCTTTCTTTTCATTTTGTTTTCCATGGATGTTTACACTAGTTTTGTAAAAGTTAAGAGCTATATTGTGTGCCAAGGATGTGAAAAAGGGAACATGCAAATGTTACAAAGTATTTATGTGACTGAATAAATTATTTTAAAACTGTAGTTTTAATTTGGCTGTGAAACTTTCTAGTTTTTATTCAGTTAGGAAAATGAGTATTTGAAAGGTTAGTTCACTTCTTACTTCATTTTGTGGTATACTGTTTTGATTCTAGAAACATTTTCTTTCAAAGGGGGTAGAAAAGTTAGCATTCTTAAAGATTTTTGTGTGTGCCTCACTTCATTTCTTACAAAAGTGTCAATGCAAGTTTCAAGATTGTAAAAAACCAACCAAACCCCACCTCAACAAAACCAGTCAAAAACCTTAGCTTAAGATAAACTGAGCTGGTCTGTCAGTTCACTAGCAACGTTTTAAAGTTGGTTTTAAAAACAGCAACATTCTTGTTGAGTCCCACACGTGGACGGGTCATTTAACTGTAGAATGTGGTCCCTCCATTTCTAACAAAGTTAAGAGTGCTAACTTTAATTGCATAAATATCTTCTGCACAATTCAGTTAACATTTCTTTTAACACGTGAAAGAAAAAAAAATTGATATTTTAATTGATAAATTGACTTCTATATTGGTTTCTACAGCAGTGTTTAGCAGACAACTTCACTTGAACATTCTTTAGTCTTAACTTGTGTGCTGCTTTAGGAACTTCCCACCAAGTAAATATAAATACAAAGATATATCTTGGATAGATGTTTTATAACATTCATAATGCTCAATCCTTAAAAAAAAAAAAAAAAAAGGTAAGTAGATAATTAAAAGGTGTCCTGACACGCAAATGGACACAAGAAATTTGTAAAGGTAAGCATAACCTGGACAATTCTTGGCTCTAATAAGTGTTTTCTGTATATATATAATTTTTTATAGAGGGTTTACAGGTACACCAAGTTACTTTTACAGTGAAAATACTTAATTTCAGAAATTTCTCATCATTTTTCAGTGGGCTTAAATCTCTGCTTATGCCACGTCTCATGTTAGCTACTCTTGTTCCTTGCTATTTAGAAGCTCACCTTCTGTACTTACAAAGATCTCACTGAAATCTTGAGATCTGTTCGAGAATTGTGGAGTGGGCTTTAGTACAAACATGTTGGAGACTTCATGATCCAAATTTTTCGCATTTGACTACCGGAAAGCTTCAAGTGTTTGCTGTCAGTGCTTGCACTCTTAATTCTCAATTTATTTAAACGTTTGCTACCTAGTATGTATTATGTATACAAGTGAGTTTGCTTTTCCCCTTGATTATGTATGGAAGCAAGTGATGATAAGACTTAAAAAAATGCCTACACTTTTACTCGGTTCTATTGTAATGAACTGGTTTTAGTTTCAGAAGCATGGGTGTGAATCATAAGTGTATTTGTTCAGGGTTTAGGGAAGTTTCACATTCATCTTACAGATTTACTGTTTTTATCTCCTATTCCAAGTGAGAATTATTTTATGTTTTGTGAAGTGTCTGGAAGTCGTCATCTGTGAGAACAGCAGCTTATGTTACAGCTGAGACCACTGAAATGCAACCAGAGCTAAATATTGCTAAAAACAATACTGTCATCTTTTCGGGCATTTTTTGTAGAGATGTTGCTATGAAGTGTCATTTTATTAATCCCAAATAGCTGCTGTTTCCAAGTATTGGGATTTCTCACGGTGCCTACATGCTGCCACTGCAGTATCCCCTAGCCTCTTGTGCCAGTTTTATTTTCTCTGGTGTAGAACAGAAGTGTTACTTGCTACTGAAATACTATAAAAAAAATTCACCTAGCAGAAAGATAAAATGTTTAGAATTGGATTAATAATATTTAACTCTTTACTATCTAAAAGGCATTTGGTCATTATCATATGGTGACTTTAGCATATTTCAATTTTCTCTCTCCTGCACAGAGAAACTTAAAGGGATAGAGGGTTAAAAGCAATGAAGAATGGAGACTTTGCCTTTAGAGAGATGACTGGGAAAACCAGATGGTATTGATTTTTCTCCCATCTCCCCCTTTCTGTCTAATGCCTTTTGATCAAGGACATCCAAATCTGTAAAACAACTTCTGCAAAATCACTCAGATGTGGCTGAGTCTATCTGAGACTGTATGAGGTACATTTTTTACAGTTATACTTCATAATTTTTACAAATGAGGTGTACTCATAAACATTGATGGTCGGTATAAAGGGTGTGCATGGGCAAATCTTCAGCTTTTTTTAAAGGTACTTCCACTTGTCTTTCTATAATATTTTATTATACTTTCACTCAACGTTAGTAAAAGAGACTTTCGTCCCTCACAACCCCTTTCTCCTTTCTTAAAATTTAGGTTTTGAGTGCTCAAGGACACTGTGATGTTTTACTTGTGTTGCTTTGCAGTTTGATGATGATGATGACCACAGTGATGTGTGGAATTTATTTTCACAGCATTTCATAAGCAGCAACACTTTCATTTCTTAACATATCTCCTCATTGCATATTATTATTTTGCATAATTGTTCTAATTTATTCAAGGGGCCTGACATGTTATGGTCTTTTAAGTATGTGCCTCTGGGACTTGAGGTTGTTGCCATATGGTGAGATAGTGCTTCATGACAACCTTTCAGCAACTGAAGAATTCAACAGTGAAATAAATATGATAATTTTAAGCATTCAGTGAAATCTTACACTTAACCACTTTGACTTGTCTTTTTCCTCTTAATGCCAAGATGACTACTGCTTGCAGAGAAGCCAGGTTGAAACAGGTGTTTGAGTTTTGCATCAATATGTTAGGAATGTATTGATTTTTAGTTGTCTTTGTATGTGTAATAACTTCATTTTTAAGTGAGAGTTTGTGTTGACTTCTGAAGTCTCTAGGGGTAGTTATTGCTCTGAGACTTAAAACTGAGCAACAGTGACTTTCAGGAAAATTCGGGTTTAATATGGGATTAGAAAAGAGTGAGTAGAAATAAATTTGAAAAGATTACTCTGAACAAAAGAAAACCAATTGTTCCAGTTTAGACATGGGTACTAAGAAAATCTGGCCATTCAAATGGAACTAAAGTGTAGGCTTTTCATCAGAAAAACTGTAAAGAAATTATTTATGAGAACTTGAATGTACAACATGCTTTCTGTTACATTCCTGTTGTGTTATCAGTGATTTAACTACCAAGTTGGCATAATTTTTTTTATACAGAGAAAACAAATTAGGAGATACTACTTCTGGTTTACAATTTGAAACAGTGTAATTAACCACAGTAAATACATGCTTTCAGGAGCTTTGCACCTATCAAATTGCCAGAGATTCTTTGTGTAGAGTGTGTAATTTTTGCCAGTGAAGTCTGCTAGCTAACATCTTAGTTGTTTGCCTGTAAGGGATAATATTTTCATATACTTCTAATCTTTTTTATTTTGCAATCCTTTTCTATAGCTTACCTCACCCTCCTCAAAATATTTTTAAATTCAGTAGCCTGTCTCCCAGGAATTTCATACTATTGCCTGAATCTTTGGAAGCTCATGGGTCTAGAAACAGGGGAGCCTGTTTTTTTGTGAGGTACATCTTAAACTTCCTAATAGGTGTTACAGCCCATCAGAGTATTTTTATGAAATAATTCTTCAACATTAGTTTCCTTCTCTCTTACACACACATACATTAATTTCAGTTATAGCTGATGGAACATTAGACTCTTCAGTGTGGGTGTGGATCCTGAGTTATTACAGGGATGAGACAGGGTGTAATATAGATGTACTTTGCAATTCAAATAAGACACTCCCTTATATTAACTATTTTATATGAAAATGTGACTCAGAAGTGCTTTTGTCCATGAAATGCACCCAAGTAACAATACAGATGAAGAAACAGTAGAATTTGAGTATCTTTATTCTCAGTTAAAAGACAATAGATGATCAAAAATCTGCTTGTCAGTGCTGTTGATTTGGAACAAAGTATGTTAGGTTAGCTGAGAAAGATGGAAATAAAGGAATAGAACTGTAAAATCATCAAGAAATTCAGTTGTAAGCTCTTCTATTCAAAAGTCTGGTTCATATTCTTTCTGATCTCTTTGCATCTATGCAGGTGAGTTATGGTTTGTCTGCCCCATAAATGCTGAAATTGGGAGTAGATTTTTCTCCAAGTAAATTTGCTTAGCCATAAATTGATTTTATGATTGTATGTGTATACAGAACCTAGTATGTAATTTTTTTCTACCTTGTTTTGATTTTTTTTACTAGAAAGAGGGATCAGTAGGCCTATTTGGTTTTTTACCCCCCTTTCGGTTTTTAATCTGATCACTTTTAATCTTTAGTGTGTTTCACAGTCTTTAACTTCAAAGTGTAATTGCAATGATGCAGCTGCTTAATGGATTGCTACATTTAATATTTTCCCCCTAAGAGCAGTATTTCTTCTTTGCATCTCTAATTGGATCATGCTGCTGCTGTCCCTGATGGAAATGCCAGGCTTCATATTCACCATACACCTGAGCACATGCTTACTCACTCGGTAATCCTAATTTATTTATTTTTTATTTATCAAAATTGAATTGTATTACGTGTGGGGGTTTTCTTGTGCTTCAATTTTATTGCAAAAGAAATGTGAGGGGAAATGCAGTCACGCACCTCTTGCTGCACCAAGCTTTCAGATTCAGGCTGGATCTTCGTACCCTACTGCTGCATGTCTTAAATGTTAGATTTATAGTACTTCAGAGCCCAGCTCCAGGGCGAGATATAAAGACACCACAGATTTGGGAGGGGGATTGATTTTGTAGCAAGCATTACTTGTTGCTGCTCTCTGCACATTCCTGCAGGCGTGGCCTTTTTTTTCCATGCTGGTAGTGACTACAGCCACCGCAGCTGCTGCGGAACACCACGCATACCATCTCCCACTCTACAGGCAGGCAGAAGGTGAGTAATTGTTCATTGTTGCTGCATCTGAAGGATTCCCTTTTCCCCTCCCACACTACCTTGGCCCCTTTAGGAAGATTTTCATCTATTAAACTTTCCCTCCTCTGTTGGAGGAACTAAACCTCTTTCAGCATTTTCAGGCTGGTGATCTAATTTGACAGCTCGTAGGTGATGTCTATTCCTCTTCAAAGAGGCAGGTAGCCCCGGGCTAGCCAGCTGCATTGTGGATTCTGCAGATTTGGCTTGCTGTTCCTGCTGGGTGTCATCTGTCTTTTTAGTCTTGCGGTGGATAATTTTTGTCCTCCCTAGCATCATCTGCCTGAGCAGTTTCTGCCTGGCAGGCCTGTCCATGCAGGTTGAGCATCAAATACAGTAGCCGCACGGCTAATGTGACAAGGCACTCCTCCAAAGCGCAGCCCCGGGCCTGCTTTGGCCAGCATCGGCATCGCAGCCCGCAAACTTCCAGCCATCACGATCGTGGTCTTGGTCTCCCATCACGGGTGCAGCCCATGGACTTATTCTGCTGGCACAAAGTATGTCCCCCGCCTCGCCCTCTTAAGGGCCGTCGCTCCGATTCCTCCCATCCGGGCAGATGTCTGCCTCAACAGGTTTGGGTTTCCCTGCCTGTTGCCGGCATTTGACTCGGACACCGCCACTTGGATGAAACAATACTTTAGTGGATTATCATTGCTAGACAGCCTGTGGGGGAAATGACAGGACTCGGCACGTTCATCTGAAGATATTGCAATTCAGAGTGCTGCTAATGCTAATGGGAAGTGGCAGGGCGATCCCTAAAAGAGAAAGCGGGTTCCATTGCACGGCAAAAGTGACAGAGGTTGTTTAGCCTATCTTCCAAAAAAATACATGATGACTACATATGTTGATTTTCATGCTCCAAGCCATAGCTATTTCCATATTTTTGTGACTTGATGACTACTTTCTACAAACTGACAGGTTAGGGGCTCCACAAGTATTGTCTTTTTATAGCCATCACCTCTTTAAGTCCTCCTTAATTTTTTTGAATATGTTTTGAAAATAAGCTTGATGGGGCAGTGAGAGTGAGCAGGGAGTGGGGGGGACAACAAAAGAGACATAAATGCAACAATAAAGCATATTCTTTAAAAAAAATACTATTCAAACAGAGGAGGAATGGTTTCAGGACAGTAGTCCTAGAAACCAATGCAGCTGCCTGTCACAGGATTTGCCCTTGTTGCATTCCCATAATTCTGAACCTGACATTATTCATGAGGTAAGAACTGTTTTCTAGAAATGCAGCAGTTGCAAAGCCCCTTAACTACAGGATTTCCTCTTTAAAAAATACAAAGCTGGAGCATAGGGCTTAGAGGGGGAAATAACTTGTTCGGGAGAGAGACTACAAAAGAATGGCCGCTAGGCAGGAAAGGGATAAAATTAACATTTGAAAAATTCTACCCCAGATTATTAGTGATGATGGAGCCAGCCGGAATATCCTACAGATGTTATTAATATATGAGCATTAGTGTAATCTAATGGTGATTGTCAGTTGCTTATGTGCTTTGAATTCAAATGGGAAAATATAAATACTATAGGTTGCAAGAGGTGGTTATTTTGGGGTGAAAAAAAGATGATGTGGAAGGGAACAGTTTTCTAAATAATTCTTATATCTGCTAGTTGCCTAATTAATATTTCCATCCACCGGCTCTGCTCCCCTTGTGCGGACCCGTGCCCTTCTCTCCTCCTGAAAGAACACCCATGGCACAGCCAAAATCCCGGGGGTGTGTCTGGGGGCGGTGCCGCGGCGGGGCGGGCGCGCCGCGATGATCTCACGCCGCGGCACCGGGGCCCTGCGGAAGCTCTGCGGGCACGGCCGGGCAGGGACAGGGACAGGGACAGGGCCAGGGCCGGGCAGGGCCAGGCGGTGCCGCCGCGCTGCCCCCGGAGCCGCCGAGCGCCATGAGCGGGGCTGGCCCCGCGTCCCCCGGCCGCGGCCCCGCGGCGGCCCCGCCGCACGGCGACAGGAGGCGGGAGGCGCCGGCCGCCGGCTCCCCCATCCAGGCCATCATAAAGGGTAAGGGGCGGGCGGGGCGGCACCGCGGCATCAGCAGCCCCGCTTCGGCCGCCTTCCTGCCCCCCCGGGGCTCCGTGGCACGCTCCGAGCCTTAAAAGCTGGAGACCTGCGAGGCCTAGGTAGCTTTCACCTCTCGGAGTTTGAAACTAGGCGTTCTTTCGGGAAACTGAGTCTGCCACCGAGGCCCTGCCACCGGCGTGTGAAGTTTCCTGGGAAGCCCCTACTTTGGTCTTGTTGGCCCCGAGTCTTGCCCTGGTCCATCTGCGCACAGGAGCGTTTGGACTGGGGAAGGGTCTAGCTTGTGTTTTATTTACTGCAATCACGTCATTCCCCAGATTTGGAATAACCTTTTTGCACCTTTTTTTGAACGGGGTGGGAATCGGGATGTTGAACAAACAGGTGGATACAGTAGCGAGGGAGAGCCACGGGGCAGGTCCAGCAGGTGGGGCAGGAAGACATCCTTTACATGGCAGTGCCGGTTTAAAGCGCTTGCTGGCACTGCATCGTATATTTCTTGAAACAATCTTTATTTGCTGTGCTCTCACACTGCCTTTTGATTTAATGGGCGTTTTCTTTCTCTGTGGCAGACGAGCCTGATTTTCGCGCGTACTTATATTGTAAATACTCTTTTTCAAGACTTAAATTTCAAGTCTTTGGCCCTGGAACACAAGAAAATGCTGACGGTTTTCCTGTGTAGGGAGCATTTTGCTTCCCTTGCTTTGCTGCAGAAAACTCCCACGTCCTAGCATGTAAATCTCTATTAAACTGCAGCGTTTAGTTCTGTTCTTTTACCACTGTGTACAATCTGATACAGAAGAAAGAGAAGAAAGAGGTTTGAAAAAAAGGGTGCTGAGGCACAGAGGAGAATTTTCAGCCTTCACAAAAGATGTCTTTGGCATCTGGAATACTGATTCGTATTTTATCTGTATCGCATTTTACCTAAATTGGTGATTTGCTGAATAGATAGGTTACTCAACAAGCACTGTTCTGGTGCTCTTTTGGGTCTGTATGTATTTTGTAGTCCTTCAAACTGAGGTGTGGTGTGCTACCATGTGTTGGGTAGCCTGGTGTAGGAGTGAGAGAAAAACTAAAATTCTGGCTTTTATTAATCTTCTAGATGTTGGGGAAATCTATTCAAGGCTCCTGGATCACAGACCAGTAATTCAGGGAGAAATACGTTACTTTGTTAAAGAATTTGAGGTAAGTGTTTGTATCTTATTGGATGCTATCATAGTCTGAGACTTTCAACAGTGTTAGCATCTCTTTAGATGTCATAATATGTGCATAAGTTTTGCCAGAAGACCTTGACATGTTTGGTTTTTTTCCCATAATAACACACTTGTAGTATACATCTGCATCTTTAGTAAACGAGGCAGTAATTTAGGCCTTTCTCTTTTAAAATTTTTGAAAGGGACATAATTTATTTTTCTGCAAAACACTGGCAGGAACTCTGATGCTAGAGAATTATGAAATCCTAACATCTTAGAGAAGTCCAGTTGGTTCAAGGAAAGTATTGTTGGCCAGTGTAGGTTTACATCTGACTGAGAAACTGCTTTAGGCATCAGCTGGATTCAACTTGCACAGTTGTAGTTTTATTTTGCTTTAATTTTTGTTACACAAAAGAAAGTAATATTACTGGAAAAGAAGAGTAACACTTTATGCAAAGTTAGAAAATCATTAAAAACTGAATGACTTTTGCCTGATTGGCTGCAAATAAGGCTTAAGTATTGAAGGTGCAAAAGTGTTTATATACAGCTTTGCTTGGAAAGTGTAATTTGGTTTCCACAAGATGGCAGCAAAAGTTTAGAAAAGTCACGTCTTATGTCAACAAAAGGCTTTTTCTGAGTAGATTTTCATTCTTACAGAATGTGGAGTTTAAAATCAAAACCAGTCCTGAAAATGCAGTTACGCCTCAAACTTCCAGCAAGCAGACCTGATTTGAATGACCTTAAGAATGTCTTCCCCCCTCATCACAGATTGTAGCTTATATTTGAAGCAGGTCTGTTTTGTCTCTACTGCTTTAGCAAAATACACACATGAAATAAACTCTCATCAGATCTGTATCGCATGGGCTTCAGAGTCATAAGAAATTATTTATTTTCTCTGCCTTCCCTAAGTAAGATACAGTAGGTAGTTTTACATGGCATTCCACGGGAAGGAAAAATTTAAACTCAATTAAAAAATTAGAACTCATATCTTTATAACTATAATTCATATATTTCTCTTTTTGCACCTGAAGTCTTGTTCTGTTTCTTAGACAAATTTAATACATTCTTAGATCTTTTACTGAAATTCAGTTGCTGGTTATTACTTTTGGGGGGGGAACAACAAAGCAAAGGAGTATTTAAATCTTTGCAACTTAAAATTTCTTCCAAAAATTACTCTTGTTTGTAACTTTGAGATATCAGCTATTTTTCGGTTGTGGTAGGACATGTGCTTATTCTTTCAATGATGAGCACCTAGTGTGTAGAGAATGTACATTTGCATTCAGAAAATCTGGAGCCTGTTTAATTAAGTGGTTTTACTTGTCTGTGCCTCTGTTGCTGAAGTTTTAAAACAAATATGTTGATTCAATTGCCCACTTCATGGAATGCAATAGTTTTTGTTTATCTGGAGTAGTCATTTAAAGGAAAGTTTTGGTGAAATTGGGAGTGGAAGTAGCACTACAACTTAAGAAAAATAGATTGTTTTTTAAATGTGAACAATAAAGCAAGATCTTGTTGTTCTTGTAATTAATCATGATCAGCGGTGATCCAGAAGAAGGGCTGCTTCTTTAGTCAGCTGTGTCATATTATTTTTTAATCTTGACTTCGTTGCTTTACTTCAGTTAAAACAATTTTACTTGGATTGTTTTAATCTCTTCCCATGCTAAGTGTGGGTCAGACATCAAGTAAGCAGAATCGCTGCTATGTTGTTTCTCAGTAACAAATGAGTTATAAAACTGCAGTGTTTTCAAGTTTTCTTGCTCTGTGTTGATTTTGATACGCTGCAAATAATCTATACAAAACAGCACATTTTTCCACACAGTGTTTTAGCCAGTTAATACTGACTTTTCTCACGAAGGCCAGAAGAGTCATTCAAAGAATTCCTGTATTTTAGTGTGAAGAATGGAACACTGCTCTCTTTTTTCCGCAAAACACTTTTTTTCATTGTGCTAAATAAGTAGACTAACTCTTTAGGAGACAATGGTATAGTCTTTAAGATGAAGTTTATCAACTGGGAAACCATCTTTAGTTTGTAAAGTGGAATTCCTTGTTAGCCACTCATTTTCGTTCCTTTTTCTGGCAGGAAAAACGTGGCCTCCGAGAACTGCGAGTACTTGAAAATTTAAAGAATACAATCTTTGAAACAAATGAACATGTTCTTCCTAAGTGTGAGCAGGCAATGCATGACAATTTGAATGAAACATTCAAGAGATGTAAGCACATTGCTTCTTATTTCTCTTATTGCATCGTTTTGAGGAGTAATTTAAATAGTTTGAATTCAAAATGTAGAAAATTTGTAGAAAAATTATCATAGGTGGATATTTATGTGCTATTTATGTGCTTTGTTCTCATTTCTGTGAAATTTTGAAAGGGAAACAACAGGGACATTTTTTGTATTGGTGCAGCCACACAGCTGTTGCTAAGGTTACATTAAAGCTTTTTGTTTATTGAAGTAAAAGCTGTTTCAGCTCAGTTGTTTGCTACTCACTTGCAAATAGCACTCCATATTGACCAAAACCATGGACAAAATTTCATTTTTCTGAAATTTCAGGATTTTTTTCAGTTTGTTGCAAACATGCTGCAGTGTGACCTTCAAGTTTCGTAATTTTCCCACAGGAGTGTGTAATACTGTCCCCTGTGATTTCAAACAAAACCTGCTGCTGTCTAACTGTGAAATTTATTATTATTATCATCATCATCTTAGTCACAAATAGTGAAATAGGAGTAATTGCATGCTAATCTTAGTTTCATCATTATAATAATATATGTTTTTATTGCTCAGATTTTAAAAGAAAATTTATAATTTATTGTACTAATTTTTCAGTATCTTTTTTCTTACTCATTCAGCAGGATGGCTTCTTAAAAAGAGATTTCAGTGTGGGTACCTAGCTTTAGCTGCAGAATTTATGTGGTTGAAACTTGCCAGTGTAGGTTGTGTTATATTTTGTATGTGGCATGTTGTATAAGCATTTAATTTTGTATAACTTACTTATACAGCATCTGGCATACACAGAATAGCAAATGGTAGATGATCCTTTGAACACGAAACAATTTCAGGAAAGTATTTGAAACTTTAAATTTAGTCATGCAAATAAGGCACACGTTCTAATACCATCTGACTGGACTGAACCTCTGATGCTGCTTCCCGACTTTCTGATGGGTCAGCTGTGCAGTACATCTTTAGTAATAGAATCACGGAATGGTTGAGGTGTGAAGGGACCTCAGGAGGTCATGTTGTTAAGCCTCCTGCCTGCTCAAGCAGCAGCAGCAGCAGCTAGAGCCAGGACTGTGTCCAGTTGCATTTTGAGTATCTCTACAGGGAGAGACTCCACAGCCTCTCTGGGCAACATGTTCCAGTGTTTGACCACCCTCACAGGAAGAAGTGTTTTCTTGTGTTAATTAGAAATCCCATGTATTTGATCTTGTGCTCACTGCTTCTTGTCCTGACAGCACTACAGAGAAGAGTCTGGCTCCCTCATCTTCATTCCATTCAGATATTTATTCACATTCTCCCCTGGGCTTTCTTTTCTCCACACAGAACAGTCCCAGCTCTCTTAGCCTTGCCTCATACAAAAGATGCTTCAGTCCTTAATCATCTTTGTGGCCGTGTACTGGACTTACTCCAGTAAATAATCTCCTTTGTTTACTGGAGAGCCTAGAAGTGGATAGACTAACTCACATGTGGCCTGTGTTATTGGCCTTAATTATGCCTTGCTACCAGAGATTATTCCTCTCCAGATGCAGAACTTGACATTTCCCTGTGTTGAACTTCATTAAAATTCCTCTCAGCCCAATTCTCCAGTTGCTCAAGGTCCCTCTGAATGGCAGCACAACCATTTCCAGTTTAAGTGTCCCCTAACCTGGTGCTCCTTCACAGTCAGTCTGCTTTGCTCTGGACTTTCCCTCTGGTGTCAGAAGCCTGGGATTCCTCAAGGCTGGTCTTTATGCTAAAGACTAAGGCAAAGAAGGCATTGAGTACGTTGGCCTTTTCCATGTTCTTTGTCACCAGCTCCCCTACCCCACTGAGCAGAAGGCCTGCATTTTCCCCAGTTTTCCTTTTGCTGCTCCATACTTACAGAATCCTTTCTTGCTGTCTTTTGTACCCCTCGCCAAATTCGACTCCCGATCAGCTTTTACTTTCCTCATGCTGTCTCTGCTCGATCAGACGGCAACTCTCCTGCATGACTTGCCCCTGCTTCCACCTCCTTTTTAAATTTGAATTCAGTCAGGAACTCCTCGGTCATCCATGAAGACCTCCTGCTGCAGGCGACATCCATGCTTGTTGGGATGGACCTTTCTTGAGCTTGGAGAAGGTGATCCTTGCTACCATCATCCCAGACCCTTGGTTTGCTTACCATTGGTTTGTCCCCAACTTCTTTACTTTTTTTTTTTTGTGAATCACTCCTTCACCTGTCATTTCCAGTTCAAAGCTGTCTCTACCAGGTTGACCAGCCTGCTGACAAGAGTACTTTTTTGCCTTGTTTAGTCAGGTGGATCCCGTCTCTTCCAAGCATCTGTTGGTGCTCAGAATGGCTCTCATGGATATAGAAACCAAAACCCTGCTGCCAACACCAACTGTGCAACCAGCTGTTAACCCCAAAAATCCACCTAGTCCCCCTCAACAAGAAGATTGAGGAGATCATTACCCGGACCCCCATGTCTTTGACCACTGTCCTCAGATCCTTGTAGTCATTCCTGGTGGTTCTCAGGTCACCCCTGCAGTACCACTGGCATCTACATGGAAGAGCACCAGGAGTAATAGTCCAAACTTACAACATCCCAAATGTGAGCCCCTGGCAAGCAGCAAACCTCCCTAGGTGACAAAACATATTGAAAGGTGGGGAGCCTCTATCCCCTGCCACAGGGAGTCTGCTACAGCTGTCATTTGCCACTCCCTTCTAATGGTCCTGAGCAGTTCAGGATCAGCCAGCAGGTGCTCCAGTTCATGATGCTCCCAGCTCCTCATCAGCTATGTGGGCAGTGAACCTGTTCTGTTACTGGAAATCCTCAGGGTGGCAGAAGCCTCCCTCCTGGTGTGAAAAGTCACCAGCTTCAAGATGATGATAAATTAGTAAGGTATTTCTCAGTGCCAGATTGTGTTAGTGAGAGAAGTGACTGCTTTGGGGAAATTAGTTTATTTAATTCTACATTAATCAAGTGTTAAATAAGTTGGGGAGAAAAAGTGCGTAGGAACACAGTTCCTAGTTCCATTGACAAGTTTTCCCAGGCTTAGTCTCATGAGAGAAGAGGCTGGCTCCAGCATAAAGATGTTCTCCATGTAGAGTGTGTGCTACATCACTTTTTACTTTAAAAATAAGAAAAAAACTGAACCAAGTGAAACATAGAGCTTGGTCACCTGTTTCTACTTACTGACTTAAGAGAGGTTTTTGATGTCTTCTGAGGTGCTGAGCAGTGCACTCTAGCTCGTTAGCCACTAGGGAATGTGGGCACAAGAGGACCTGTCTGCTTTTCACTTCTTGGTTTCTAGAACACACAAACGTTAAGCTCATTGATAAGCCTATGTACAGTTGTAAGAGTAAAGCATTTTCTGCAAGTACTGACAACTCTTGTGCAGAGTTAAGTGGCACAGTGGAATATAATCTTTGATTTGTAGTAATCTCACGTCTTTTAAATCCCTTTCAGGCAAGTTTCTTTGATTTAGAACAGCAGACTGATCTACTGCAATTTGTTGTTTCAGTGCAAGCTGCCAACGACATGATCCATAAACTCCAAGAGAAAGAGTGTGAAGTGAGAAAGGTAAAATATGGGTGGATGGATACATTTTTACAGTGTGATCTAGGTTGGAGTCTCGTGCTTCACAGCAAGTTCATCTGCCTTCAGTTTTGCTAAACTTCAGAAAGTGTTTTTCTATACCTTATATACTTGCAGTAGAACTTCTTCTGGGGTGATTTCTGCTCACTGCAAGTGGATCTAGCTAAGTCTTCCTACAATCTCCTGATGCATGGAAACTATTTTTTTTATTTCCTTCGCTTTATTTTCCCTCCTAGCTCAGACTATAACATTTGTCACATACAGGGAAAGCTTAAATATAAAAAAACCCTTATTTTCTGTGGAACAAAAAACACCTACTAACCAGAATGGAAATGTAAATCTTTCCTAGTTAGCAGAGAACATTGACCATATTATATATATTGCTTGTTGAAAAGGAAGTGTGTTTTTTACTTGTGGATGGGTTATTTAATGAAGGGCTATATTATAGGAACATGCGAATCATTGGAACCTTTTCAGTTGGCTACATTTTGCTTATTTGAAATACATGTGCTTGGAATCTAGAAGCTGGAAAATTATACAAGAAATTAGTTTCATGTTTTCCCATTACCGCTTCGTTATTGTGTTCCTGGGCTATCTCTTAACCTGCAAAATGCTATTTATAATAATTTAGTTCAGAAAAACTGAAGACTTTTCTGTGGCCATCAAGCGAAACAGGCCGTTCATTGATGTATGTAAGCTGATAATTGTGTTTTTCTTTCCTTTTTGCAATCGATGAAGATGGGCAGTCCAGTTGCAATTGAATACTGGCACTGTGCAAACAGCACACTGCTGAACCCTGACAGAGTTTGCTTGTGTCTATCGCTAGTGTAGATACTGGTAGAGAGGTTTAAGAGGAAATTCTTACAGTTCTGCTACTGTTTGTTTGAAGTTAAACTTTAATAAAAAATTTATAACTTATAAAATGAACACTCAGTAAGAATGGTGACTATTCTTTTCTTAAAGTATTAGCTGTATGTTTCCACTCTTTGGGTTTTTAATATAAAGTGGAGGAATAGTAATAGCTATTCAGGATTTGTAGCATTTCTTTAAGCCAATATACTTTTTGGCTTGAAACTTTCAAATGTGAGTAGTAACATTCTTTTAAAATTATAGATAAAAGTTGTCATTGTAGTACAACCATGTGAGGAGAAATATTTTTTCCTTACTTTTCTGAAATCGTGTGTTCTAAAAAAATAATGGGATTTTGGTAGAATGTAGTCTCAAGTTATTAGTGTTAGCAGCCCTCAGTGAAATTAATTCAATTTCTGCTGAATAGAATGAATTTTAAGATTATTTAATTTACTAATTATCTTTTTCTTGCAGTTCTTTTCAGCTACTGGCCAAGTAACAAAACTGAAATTATGTTGCCCGTACCACACTCTTAATTAGGGTGTAAAGTAATATGTGATTGTGTCACTGAAAGAAGGCATACTATCAAATTCTACATGGTTTTGTTTTCTAGAAAACAAACCTTTTCCAAATCTATAAATTTAGAAGTTATGAATGGGCAGTATAAAACACACTCAGTATTGCCTCTACAGATCACTAATTATGCCAGTTTTGGAAACTTTTTTTGCTCTTTGAAAGTGATTTTTGACTTAACCAATACAAATCCATGCAAAGTTGTCTGTACCTCTTGAAAACCTTTGTATTTTAAATATTTTTCATGACTGCCTAGGGCATATATAACAAGAGAGATTTGGACCTCTGTGCTTTTTAGCTTTTTTTTTTTTTTTCGTAGTGTCTTGATTTCATTAGTTTTTCCTCCTGTGTGTTATGGTCAGTTGAATAAAGCATAAAGTTAATAGTGCTGGATGTGAGGAGGATGTGGTAGGAGTGGAGAGCAGTAGTGTGTGGTAGGAGTATGGTAAGAAAGCACAATATATATAGCAAGAACAGGTGGGTAATTGCAGAGCTGCAGCGAGGAAGTCATCTTTTTGTGCTGAGAAACTGAATTTTCTGTGGCTGTAGCGCTAGGTGTCAGTGAAAGTAGTTGTGTGTCCTGCATTGGAGCCTGGGTTCTCAAGAGACTCTTAGTGACACTCTGCTAAGAAAAAGGCTGTACCACGGTAGCAGCTGTCACAAGAGAGCAGAGAAGGCTTGGATGAGGGAAGCCTTTTAGTACCTTAGCTTTAGGGATAGTGTCTGTGGCAGCTTGGGTCTTGCCTTGGGATGTGGGCAAAGGAGGAACCTGTCTTTAGTCGGATTTCTCTCTCATTGCTCTGTCGTGCTTAACAAGACTAAGTGCCCATTGAAGATTATCCCACGGCAATAACATTCATAAGTCTCTCCTGTGTGAATTCTTTAACTTCTAAACCAGCAGGTTTACAGTGCAGCATGTTCTTCAATTGAAAGATGTGTGTCCTAAGGCACTCATCTGTTAAGCATCATACTTTATTATATTTGCTTGTTTGCACAGCTGTTTGTCTGGTACAAAGAGGAATATTGGTTTCAAGATTGTGACTGTCTCACACACACAAACATATCCACTTGGCAGCCATAAGTATTAATGATCTGGAGATGCTGCTGGCCACAGCTGGGTTTGAAGTTGTTTCCTAGGAAGGAGAGCTGCAGTGCCCAGTGAGCTTCTGGCCTGGAGTTTTCCACATTGTTACTGGGGTGGGAGAGTGAAAAAAGTATTCAAGTCCTTGATGTCTTTTACTTGGTATTTCTTATCATTCTTACTCGCTTGTGCCAGCATATCTTAATTTTATTTCTCATGTTCTAGAAATGTCTCAGGCTGTTCATTTTATATCCTTGGGTAGAAATGGTACAGTGGAAAACGAAGGTAGAAAGTAACAACATTAGTTGTTCCTTGCAAACTATTCATGTTGTGAGGAGCATGAGAGTTAGTCTAGATGAAGTGTAGTTTGGGTCGGCTAGATGAAGTGTAGTTTTGGGTCGGTGCTGTGTAATCCTGTCAAAAAGTGTGTGAAACACCGGCATTTCAAAGCGCACCAGTCAAAGTGGTGTGTTTTGTTAGTAGCTGTTACTGCAACTGCTGCAAACAAAATGGACCTTGGTATGATCTTGTTGAAGTGTATAAAATGCTGCCCTGCAGAAATTGTGTATTTATATGTGTGACCTTGAAGAGCAACAGAGAAGGTGTTTAAGAATACATAAATGGATTTTCAGTGCCTTCCATTGACAAAAATGCCAGACATCGATTAAAGCTGTATGATAGTGTTTATTCCTACACAGAAGTAGTAGTAAACTACTATCTGTCATGGCTGATAGACCAAAAAGGAGAGGGGGGTAAAAGAAAAAAAGGTTTAATCCTTTCTTTTGCTGGAAGATGGAGCAAATGGAAGAACACCTGCCTTGATTTATTTTGGCTTCTGCACCTATAATATAAGGAGGCCAGACTGTTAATACTGCATGCAAGCAATCCACTCAAGTTCATTGCATTATGACATGTGAATTGAATGTATATATGATTTCTCTTTCTGGATATCTACACATTTTTTAATTTTTTTTTTTTTTCAAGATAAGAGGGTGAAAGGAATCAGACTTACCAGAAGCCAAGCAGTAGGAAAGTATGAGGAAAGAAATAACTTATTTATAAAGGAAGACATTAATCACAGTGAGAGCTAGCTGGCTAAAACAGAACCACTAGCTGCCAGTTTCAAAACATTTAGTATCTGTGTTGTTATATTTTACAGAAATATAGCACAGAAAAGCTATCATTGCTAATGCTGTCATGATAATAGTATTGCAGACATTTTACTACTTGTTTTCATTGACTATACAAAAATAGATGTTTTCTTTTTAGTGTCACCTTTCCATATGTTTTCTTGCTAGTTTCCAGTTTCTCTGATACTTTAAAATTACGTAGCCCCCATTAAACCACTTGTTTTAAATATGGAAATGACTGTTAAAAGTTCGCATTTCCTCCTCTCAGCTTCAGGCAGACAAGGTGATGGCTCGGGAAGAGAAGTGCATCGCCCACTGGGAGGAATTCATGAAAGAACAGCAGAACAAACGTGCAGAGGTGGATGAAGAGCACAGAAAAGCTATGGAGCGCCTCAAAGAGCAGTATTCTGAGATGGAGAAGGAACTGGCCAAATATGTTTCCTTTTAAGACCTTTTTTAATAATGATGGATTTGTGCCATTACTTAGTTTATTCTGACTTAAACTGAGGTTCTTTTGGAAAGCTGAAACAGATAAGGTATGGGAAGAAAAGGTTTGCATACTTTCAACTTAAGTGCCTATCTCTACTTGTTTGGTCCAGGGCAGATGGAATGCCAGTATTTCTTTGTTGGAAGGTGGAACTGAAATTTGTGTGACTACATCAGCTCAGGGAGTTGCAAACTGGAATTCTCTCCCATCAGCAGAGTATCGTATCATTTAGGAAAGCAGAGATTAATGCAGAGACTAATGTAATATTAACAATCCCAGTGTGCAGCCACACCCCTTTCCCTAAAAGTAGGTTAGTAGGTTCCAGCCATAGTTGAGAATTCACTGGGAAAACTATATATCCTGCTTGTAGGTTTCAAGAAAATAAACTTGTCTTATGGAATATTTTACTTTTAGCAGTAAAAGATCTCAACAGAGTTTTAAATCCAATTGTAATTCAAACTTTTGGGTTGTACGTTCAGTATTATGAAATAGAGTTGTGATTGGAAAGGGTTTTGCTACCATAAAAATGGCTAAATAAGCTTGGACAGCAATTTCTTTTTTTTTTTTTCTCCGTGTAATTGTCTCAGGCCTCTCTTTTTAAGCTTTACTGTTCTAAGCAAAGCCAAAAGAAGCTCAGAAGTAATCATGAGAAGCATATCGATCCTTGTATTAGCTTTGGAGCTAGTACAGTATTTACCTTAAATATTTATCATGCTTTTGGTTTACTTAGGATAAGCTTGTCAGAACTTTATAAAGCAATTGAGGTAAGATTTTTGTTTCTTTATCAGCATAACAAATGGACAGATTACTGGTAAAACGCCTGTAGTACTGATCTGCTTTCTTACTCTTACCGGGGATGTAAAACTCCTGTATTGCTTTCTTTTATTCAAAACTTGCAGTTTACAGCAATGTAACTGAAGAAGTTAACTTAATCAGTTCATTAACCAAGGAAAATGAGACTTAGTACCTTAATGAAATTTGCTGCAAGCTAACCGTTAGTACAGGAAATATCTTTCCATAATTTAGCTGGTGTCCTATGTAGAATGGAAACAGGCAAAAATAAACAGAATTTATGCTTTACCTGTATTGCAGCAGTAATATACCAACAATGGTTGCTTGTATAAGCTTATGGCTTGGTGTCAAGGCTCCGTTCCTGGCAGCATGTTGATAGTGTGATTAAAGTTAGTAGAGGAGATGGAATAAGTATTTGAGATTTCTTTCAATAACACTGAATTCCTGCCAAGCTGCTCTGCCTGCTACTGTAGACCCAACAGCTTCATCAATCATCAGCATGTATCTGGACTGAAAAGAGGACTTGCCAACAGTGGGGCATGCTGGAATGTTGTTAATTCTCTGTTGTGGATGGAAAAAACATAGATGTCTCAAAGGTATCCCACACATGAAAAATAGGAAAGCCTCTTTTAGAACAACTCCTATCTGAATAGAAGGTGACTTCTGTAGTATTTCTCAGTTTATGAAGAATGTTGTAACTAAGCTCAGACTTTTCATTTAAAAAGAAAAAGTTAGTTCTTGCGTGTCTTTAGAATCGGGTGTGGAATAATTTCATTTGGAGCACAGATTGGAAGTGGCTTCTCTCTTACCAGATTATTTGATGTGTATGTGCTCAAAACCCAAATATCTTTGTAAAAAATGCATTTAACTGCATACTGAATTCATTTTTATTTTTGCACTGATAATTTTTATTGAGATATAGATATCAAATTAACTGTGCACTGGATTTTAGTATTTCATCAATTTGAGGGCTCTTAAGCAGTGATGCAAGTGTTACAAGTTGGATATTCACTAGAAAATAAAGTGGTATTCCCAAAACCTTCTCAGTTGTGTGGTCCTGATTTTTTGGAAAGCCTCTAAGTGCTATCACTGAAGATGTGTTCTTCTTTTAGAATGTTTTATGCTGAGGGATTTTTTTATGCTGAAGATCATTTGAAAGCACTTTTCTTCAGTCTATGTCTCCCCCTTGGCCCACTGTTATTCATTGTGGGGACTACAGTAAAAGCTATCTGTTTCTGAAATATTTCATAACTCTTTTTTTTTAAGATATGCTGTAGGTTTTAAGGTGCCTGGGTGTGCTTAATCATCTTTGAAGCAACTTGCCAACAGTAACAGGAAAACCTGTTTTTTCTGTCCAAGTGCTTAAAGAAATCCCAACCCATACCTGATGTGTCTAATACTATGTCCAAACAGAACATATCTGATTGATAAAAAAGGATTCCTATCTTCTGCAGTTTTTTTATCAAGGCGGGATTATGGTCTGTCTGGACACAATAGTTGTCCACAATGCAACTTTCTTTGCAAGATTCAAATTCTTGTTATTCGTAGTCTCTGCCATTTGGGAGAAATAGAAAAATGAGTAGTTAAAATAGTTTAAAAAGTTTGCCTTTATGTCATTGGTGCACAAAGGAAGTGTTTTAACTTACAGTTTCAGTTTTACGTGACTGAACTTCATAGTTTTAAAAATCTTGAGGATTTATTTAATCCCAGTTAAACTTGATAGAAGTTTGCATAGGAATCCAATAGGAGTTGGAAAGGATCCTCAACGTTGTTAACTTCTAGTAACTTGACAAGTGAGTTTTGCAATCTGTCTTTGTAGCACACCATGTGTATAAGTTTTTTCTTAACTATTAGCACTGTTTATTATGCTGAACTGTAGGTGTAACTGAAAGTGAGGCCGGGTGTGATGTAACCACTGCAGTATTTTCTTAGTCTTTTTGTCCTAATGAACCCATGGCAAGAAGCTGGTATCTTCCTTGGAACTGCTGTATGAAATCTGCTGCTGTGTTCAGGAGTAACAACAAATTGAGGAACTGAAGAGATACGTAAAGGTTTGGGGTTTTTTAAACTGGCTTATGTTAACAATGAATCTGCTGTTCTTCTTGGAATGTTTTATATCTAAGGCCTATCACATTATTTTAATATTAGGAATGAGGGAGAATGCTTATTTATATGCCCTTCCTCTGCTTCTTTCTGTGGTGACACTTTAATAGAAAAAGTACAGAACGTCACATCTCTGTCAATTTATGCCTTGTTAAATATTTCCTCAGATACTGTGGAGTTTTTTCATAGTCGAATTAAATAGCAAATACATGGCATAATTGGCCAGTAAACTGAATCGTATATAGTTCACTGCTGGGTTGAAAAGCCTCGTGTCTCCAGGGTGTGGATTGTGAGACTGACAAATGTTGCCCAGCAGATGTCAGTGCAGGCCAGAGAAGGAACGTGAGGAAACCTGGTTTTATACGAGATATGAAACGTAAATGCTGCTGTTCACTTGTAACACATTTTGTGGAAGTAAAAGACATTTTATAGATGAAGTCACATGCTTTTAAATATAAAGTGGCCCTTCTTATCGACAGCATTTTGCCCCATTAGTGCACAAAAAACCTTAGAACACATGACTCCTAAAGCTATTTGTGTAATGTGTGCTGACCTGAACAATGTTGTCTGCAGTTCTTGTGCGTTCTAGTTAAAATGTATTATAATCTGAGGTTAGACTCAATGTCAGAGAATAAAAACTTAGAGATGCATTCTTACACTGCTGTTTGTTTTAGTGGATCAGGTTTTCTGAACTTCTGAGGCCAAAGTTTATGCTTATTGATAGAGTTTGCACCTTAATAAGGAAATGGGATCTTCTGCAAATAAAATTGGTGAACAAAGTCATCATACCACACATTTTTAAAATAAGCTAGTTACTTTACTGTTTATAATCAAATGAACCTCTCAAAGTAGTAAAGTTGCAGTACCTTCAGTGCTGTGAGTCAAACTTCTGGTCTGTGTCTCAAGATGCAGCAGAATCTACAGGAAGATGGAATTGCAGCTGCTTAGTTAGATTTTAATAAATAATACAAGTTTCATAAATAGTTTAGTCCAAGATTATTCAAAAATTCCATAAAACGTAGACATTTAAAAGAGAAGGGAGAAGTCAAATCTATTTTAAAGCAATTAACAAAGGTAGGTTAATAAGGGTTGAAATACATTGCTCCACACAAACGTACCTTCCAGTTCTGCAGAGGTACAGTAGTACTGCATGCAACACCTTTACAGTTTCATATCTAAGTAATGAGCAAAGTAGGAACAAAATTACTCAAGACGATGCTAAGCATTAGAAAGAAGAAAAGCTTGCAGAAGTCCAGCTAGAGATTAATGCTGTAAACCAAGCTCAGACTTGTGCTTCCTAACTAGGAATCATGTAGAACTATCCACCTGGCTTTCAGTTTGCTACCTTAAATGCTGGGACAAATCAGAACACGAATGGCTCCAATTTTTATTTAACATCATTTTATAGACTATGAAGAAAAAGATAACCCTTTCAATATGATCTTGCAAGACAGCGGCACTGAAGGGTGGACAATATTGTATTTTAAAACTGTAATTTAAAATAAAACCTTATATTTCCTCAGTCTTCTCCACCAGTGACTCATTGGGTGGATACAAGGAGACCTGCAACTGAATTTTTTTAACAGACATTGCATTTAATGTGATGTAATGGAATTTAGTGAGAACCGAAGCACTATTTATGGCTTTGGCTTGGTACTCATTACTGACATTTTGAGATGGACATAATCTATAAATTTACCCAGAATTTCATGACACATTGTTGCAACATTTTGTAATCTGGAAAAAAAATAACCTTTGTTCTTGCTGCAGCATTGCAGGACCTGTATAGGCATTTTTAGTTGTCTTTGAATTAATTGTAAAATAAATTTGCAAGCTTGCTTTGCAAAGCTTGTGGGATGTTACCCAACCAGTGCTCTCCCAAACTAGGATATGCAAATATGCCTCTTGCTGCAACATGTTCTAGAATATGCCCAGCACTTTTCAGTAGCTTTAGCTCTGGGAAATTTAGTTCCGGATTGCTCGAGGCCATAGGAAGTCCTCTATTAGTGGACCCAAGTTTGTCCTTTCCAGATGTTTTTAGCCCTCATTAAATAAATTCCGGTTCCTGAAAATCCTCTCTCCAGATGGCTCTAAATATGTTCCAATATTTACTCTGTCAACTAGAAAGCTTCTAAGCTGAATTACATAAATGGGAAATACTGTGCATCCTTCCAATCCACTGATTTGAAAGAAATTTAACATAATTTAGAAATTGTTTATCAATGTTTAAAATTGTAAAGTAGAATTACGGTAGTACACCTAGATAGCATCTTGGTTTCAAACAGCTAATTAGCTTTGGGAATCCTAGGGATGAACTATCCTTTAAACTGTCAGAGTCTTAAGGGTTCAAAATTTTTTTCAGAATAAACAGCCTGCAATGCATTGCAATGGTGGAAACATTATCTGGAATCAAGAAGCACTTGGAGCTTGTAGGACTTTGATGTTTACGTCCTGGGCAAGGTTAGAGTTGCTCGTTGTATCGGCCAGTGTAATGAATTTGTTGTCTAGGGCATCTTGAGTGCAGAATACACTAGGTATCTGTGCAGTATTTGTAAGACAGTATCTTTCTCCCATTTTATTTAATGCTTTTTTGTGTATCCATGTATGCAGGAGAAGTGGGCCTAAACGCTGACTGTTATCTCTGTGTGTGGAAAAAAAAAAAACTATAGACATATTAAAAAAGTGAGGTGACCAGGATGCATTGTGTTTTGAAACTTTCTTGCAGCTGTGACTTGCAGATGACACAGCAAGTGCAATTTCCTTAAAAACATCCATAACAGCTAGAATTTTATGTAATAAAACTGTCTAATTGTTGACTTGCTTCTTAGCCAGATGATGAAGTAGGGAGGAAACGGACAATGCATCCCACTATAGCAGGTTGCTGTAGTGTTGGTGTTTGCAACTGAGGTGGTCACCATCAGCACAGGGTCACAAAAATGCAAAATCTTTCTTTGGTTGGTTTTTAGAGGATGCAAGTCACAGAGAATTGTGTGGTGGTCAAACCGGAGGATGGAAAGTCATAGCAGAGTTTTTGCATGCTACCTCTTTGTCCCTTAAACCCTCCCCTTTAAAAGAAACAGTAGTCCCCTCTTTACACCCTTCCCAGGTCCAATTTTGCTTTTATCAAAAATTATATTGAAATTCAAAAACTTAGTTGAATTTTTGCCATTATCTTCAGTCAAAATAAAAAAAAGGCTCGAGAAAGAGACTCTGTTGTTACGAGTTTCAGTCCTCATTATATTTTCCCTGTTGACACATAACTGGACTAAGACCACATACCTCTGCAAGGAGGTTATCCAGTAGCTATTGAATTAGTGCTACTGTAGGTCATTGCCTCACTATGCTCCCTTTGAAAAGGCTGCCATAAAGAGAAACTTTAGCTGAAAACTATTTCCAATTATTTTCACACGGTAAGGAATTATTCTTCATATATGATGTGATTTCCACGTGCACCTTCCGTCTGCTTTCAAGTTCCCA